AATTAAGCTCATACTATTAATATTAATGTTGATATTTTCTTAATAAAAATACATCAGCATGATTATTTAAGTAAAAAAAAAAATATAAAAAAAAATTTTTATATATTTTAAAGAAAGTTTGATACAATATTTAATATCTTTATATACTATTTATTGTTACCTTTTAACCTTGTATATAAATTATCATAAAAACCTCTTTGTTAATTCTTCTTTTAAACATCATATTGAAATTGTATAGTCTTCATATTATAATTAGCAATTACTAGAAACTCTAAAAAAAATGAATTTCCAAGTTGACAATATACATGTAATGTCATTTGTTTTGTTAACCAATTAATATAAAAATCAATACACATATGCACTAGTTACATGATGCTCCAACTGGGGTTGGAGGCATAGAAAAATTTTTAGGCTTATGCCTTGGAATACCATGCGGTGTAACAATATCACTTCGGGCAAAATTAAGTGTATAATTTGGGCCGGACAACACAAATTTGGCCAACCTGAACTGTAGGAAACGTAGAAAATCAACAAACATAAAACCGTTTGTCAGAAAGTTACATGTTATATTGGTAAATCGATATAAACAAAAAACAAAGCCCCGGTAAAAATCGAAACGAACTCCCTTTTTTACAAAAAACAAAAAACAGGAATAACTCTAAATTCTTATTAGGAAACAATATTCTGCGGCCTAGATGTCGAATTGTTCTAATCATTACCCTAACTACAAAGCGGTTTTTTCTAGATTTAATTTACACGAAATTTTTTTACTTAGAAAGCTAGAGACATGATCATGTAGACGGCTTCGCAGCCCATAATATGATAAATATGGTAGATTTGCTTGGTTTATTCTTATTTTGTTTAAAAAGAAAATTTTGCTTAAGCTTTTCAGTCATTAGATAGCTCTATTGAATTTATTATTTAAAAAAAAGCAAAAAATTTGCTTAAGCTTTACTATCATGAGACGTTCGTATTGAATTTAATGCACCAGCTTTGGGCCAAAGCTAGTGGGTGATGCATTAAATTTAAAGCCTTTATTTGTCACATAATAAATCGATCTTACTTTAATCCAAATAAACTACTTTGGATGTTATACATCCAATAATTATGTACATACGTACTTTGTGTGTACTCTATTCACCACGAAAACGCAAATTAGGATGGACATGCGAAAACCATGATAGTACATACGGTTTGTAAAAGCAAAGAATTCTTTCGAAACAAAGCTAATTTCTTATGACCTCATACGAAAAGGGTTTACTTGTAAAGGATTAGGTCTCCTCTTTCATTTGGTATCAGAATGTGACGAATTTTCGTGTGGCGAATAAGCATTAGCTAAATAATTCTATTAAATAATGCTTATTAGCCACTCCCGATGATTCGTCACATCCTTGTGCCAAATGGATAATGGACTTATAAATAAAATAAATAAAATTAATTTTACAAAAAAACTTATGTTAACCGTACGTACTATCAAACAAGTAGCTGCGCGATGCGTCGCACTGAAACTAAGAACGGGATTAATTTGGGTGACAATATATTTTGAAAAAACACATTCTTATGAATTTTTAACTAATAAATTATAATCAGAGTTTATTACAGTAGATGAAAAAGAATAATGTTTAGATAGAGTCTTCTGGAAGTGGAAATTCTTATACAAAGTTTAGACATAGGTTTTAACTGAAATTTGAGACATTGTCGGTTTCTCAAGATACAACCAGTCGATTAGGACGTTAGAAAGGGTCAAATGATCGAGAGTCCGCATAAGCATTTTAGCTCTTGTAATATATTATGTAGTGTAGGTTAAATTCATGAAGTTCTCTTTCAGAATACTGTATAATATAAACTACAGCTAGTATATCTGTATATTATTTGCATAGCCTTAGATAATTCATTTTACTATTTAGTATGAGAATATATGAATCGGTGAAAATTTACGAAAACATTTAGGTAACTCTTAGAGGTTGTTAGTGGTAACTTACCATAGCAAGTAACTGCGATAAGTCACCGGTAAGTTGCCATAAGATTTATTGGTAAATTACCATAAGTTTTATTGATAAGTTACTAAATTACCATTGATTTTGGCTAGCATTAAGACAACAGAATTTATCATTTGTTGATAATTTACGATTAACAATGACTTACTAGAACCAATTATTATCGTTATAGACATTGTCATTAACTAGAACCGTATCTAGATCCATTAAATTTGTATAAACTGGGGGATTTTTTTTGATTATGTTTTAAACATTTCGGCCACTTGGTAAATGTTCAGAGCGAAGTTATCAATAATTTTTAAATATGATAAAAATTATGCTTCATAGATGTTAAGCCAGCTCCGCAGAACCTTATGCAAGCTATTTTCGCATTTCGGCAAGACCTTTTGATATTTCGGCAGGCTCTGGAACTTTCGAAAATCCGTACTTAATATACATCCGAAACTTCCAGAGTCTGCCGAAATACCAAAAGGTTTTGCGGATCTGGCTTAACATATGTGAAGCCTAACTTCTATCATATTTACAAATTATTGATAACTTTGCTTTGAACATTTACCATACGTATAATTCGAAAGAACATAAATTACACTAATATCTGTCATCGTTTAAAGGTCTTAAAAAAAGGTATCCGTAAGAACATAAATTACACCAATATATGCCATCATTTGAAGGTCTAAAAAAGGCATCCGGAAAAACATAAATTACACTAGTATCTGCCATCGTAAAGGCATTCGGAAGAACATAAATTACACTAATATCTGCAATCATTTGAAGGTCTAAAAAAAGGCATCCGAAAGAACAAATAAATTACATTAATATCTGCCAGCACTTGGTCTAAAAAAGGCATCTATGTAACATTGTTCTGAACTTTGGCATTCATTGAAATCAATTTAGAATACTACACTGATACATGTCTTTGTAAAGAAATATAAATTAATGTTCTTGTGACTTGAAAATTCAGAAAATTTTGTAAGTTTCAAAAAAGCGATTATTTGATTGCTGCAATTTTTTGATGTCAAATATACCCATACCTATATATATTACGAAAATCGAAATTAATTATTCTGACCTTTTACCTAATTTGAAAACAACAGAATTTCTGACTTGAGATATGTACTGTTAGATACCCTATGCCACAAACTATATTATAACTAAAATGCTATAATAGATCAACCAAAGATGAGAATTTATAAGAAGTAGATACCCAATAGATTAATTTGAGAGTTGTATAATAGTAGATTATAAAGGTAATTAAAATTGTTAACTGTTATCAAAAAAATCAACTAGTGTATAAAATATTAGAAAACTCTAATAGATTTAAGTCACAAATAATAGTCTGAGTCTATATTCTAAAATATAATAATAATTATGACATACTATAATGTATATTGTATAATTAATAATACTACGTACTAATAAAGATTTAAGACAAGACTTCATCTTAACACCAAAAAAAAAAAAGTAAAAATCTATACAAATAGTACAACTGCTATTCAAGTTTTGAAAAAAAAATACAACTAACAAACAATAATTAAATAAAAAAACTACAATCTAAAGAGAAATATCAAAATTATTATAAAGTTAAAAAAATTGCAAATAAATCTAATGAAGGTAAAAAGCTATAGCAATAGTAAATAAAATAAAATTTTTAAGAAAAATACCATAGTGCACTGACTAAAAGATCTGAGGTCTAATATAAAATATCTGAAAAAAACTTTAGAATTTTATAATTTTACATCATATATTATACCCGGGTATTTTACAAGGGAAGACGACAAAAAAATGGTATAAATCAAAAATTATAACTAAAAACAGATTTTTTTGAAAACTAAATATTTTACTTAGTTCACATGGTATTAATTATTTAAACAGTTTTTGAAATATAACAACTGTGGTACTGGTGTGATTTAGCAACAAATAGATTATTATAAAATTCAATAATAATCTATCTTTAGATGTATTTTTTCTTTGGTAGGATCCAAATTAAAAAAATATGAAAAAATGAATTAAATAAAAAATGAACGTAACAAAAACAGTCGCAGATTGATCGCCTTACATTTTAAATTTTTTCTCAAGTCCACTCGCTTCATGTTCGTCTCAGGATTATTAATTACTAGTATTAAATAGTTCAGACAAAGTAATAAGATAAACACGGTAGTTGTCGGCTTGAGCCGATAACACCCATATCCGAATTTGATCACGTATTTATAATTAATTGTATCATATCTTTTTACGTAGTATATATATATTTTTTAAATATACATTATCGCTCTAATTAATTTCAAAAATAACTTAATCAATAAATAAAATTACTGTATAGATAAATATTTAAAAATAAAAATTAGGCTTAATATATGTATATACTTTTTTTAAAAATATATATAATACTTAAAAACTTTGCTTTTAGAACTGTTGCTGTAATTTTTTTTTAATAAAAAAAATTTTATTCCAAACTTAACGTTAGCATAAACCTTAATTTTAAGTAATATATATTATATAATCAAAATAAAGATGCATTGCAGTGCACCATGTATCAATACTAATTTTATTATGATATTTGCTAGAAAATAATGCTTTGATTATATAATTTACATAGTCTTTTCCTGACAAAGATCCATATAGTAATTATTGACCTGATTAGTAACTTTAACCCAATACACACCCTCCATTATTTTGATCTATTTACGTAAATCCAATATTAATAGAAACTTTTGTTATAGAATTGCTGACATTACAAGTTGATTCAGCCAGACCTTTTGACAGGAACAGAAATATCGCTCAGGTACAAATTAATTTGTTCATAAAAACTGCTGTATGAAATAATCGATAAGTACAAAGCAACCGACAACCATTTTTGCATTTGAGTACAATACGCAGGGACAAAGTAGATTAATTCAATGCCCATTGTATATATTAATATAATACCTTAGCTGGACTAAAATAACGTAATAAATATAACCAGCATCTTTTTTCTGATTTTTTTTTTTTAATTTCAACTGATTATTAATAACCTTTTCCATTAACAGTTGCAGATGTTGGAGTGTCAACCTTATGAAACATTGCATGATCCTTATGAGCTAATTAAAAAAGATAATTATAAAAACGGTAAGTAATTTAACGACTTTTCACAAGACAAGGATATTCTTACCTTTATAATAAGGGCTTTGCAAGTCAATAGGTCCCAGCGCTTCCTTTATTTTTTCCATTATTTTTGCTTCTTCATTTACAGAAGAATTCTTGTTCCAAATATTAAATATATCAGAATTATATCTTGAAGATACAGTTAAGCCATAGATATCATCATCTACCAAAATAAGGATGATTTGGTTAATATTAAATAAGTTATCTAAATCAAATAAGTTATCTAAATCAACAAAATTTATAATCTAAAAAGACACCTTTTGAAACACAATCTTCAAACTGTTCTCCGATCAACATCATAAGTAACTCCCTCCATACTATGGCGGTATTCGCTTTGCTCACACGAAAAGACCACGCGCCACCATTTTCATTACGAGGATCTTCCCTAGTGTTTATAGAAATTATTTGAATTTTTGTCTTTGAAAAAAATGACATATATTATAACAACATACCATGCCGGATGAATGTCAGATTTCATGAAATGAAGTGCACACCTTACTGAAAGTTCGTTTGGACCGATAATATTATTATATACCGCCCAGAAATTCTAGATCGAATAATTTATTTAATTATTAAAAATTAGAACAAATATTACTTACACACGACATTTGAACATTTTAATATATCAATTTCATACAAACCTGAACAGTAGATACCGTAGCGACTCTTTTTAAGTTTTCTTCATATTCCTCTAAGCGATTTGTATTTGAAAAAGGATCAATCACCTTTCTTATATAGTTATAAGATCAATATATTTGAAATGTTCTTACCAGGTGTAGCATTCGCGACGTATCTATATTAGTGATAATGTTGAATTATTTAAATTAGAGAGGCAGCATTAGAAAAAAATTGTTAATATTTGAAACAAAGAGTCTGTCTTGTAATTAATAAAGACTTATTTCAACACATTCACGTTTAAATAAAATTGATTATAACTTACTTGAAAAGATAAAAGGTCCACTTATTTGCCAACGGATGTGGATTTGACGTTTTTATACTTTCTTCTAATTTCTTTTGTCGATCGGGATCTAATGAATCGTCACTAGTTGAAAAATATGTCATTTCTTCACTGAGAGCGTTATTGTTTAAGTTTTGTGAAGAACTGGCTCTCCAAGAGCCATTAGAATTTCGTGCATTTGTTACAGGCCGTGCTGATGCCGGTAAAGTCGTTGCATTCGTGTTAGAAGACATGATCACAAAGAAACTTGGAATGTGTTTGATGTCTTTATTATATTTATGACTTTTTTTTTACTTCCGGTTTTTTTTTACTTTTTTTATATAAATTTATATATGTGAACGAACAAACTGATAGAAAACTAAAGAAATTTCTTATTTAGTGTTAAAAAAGTGGTTCTTTTTATAAGTACTGATATATCGATATATATATATTTCTAAATAAAGTCAGATTTTAGGAAAATACCCGATCAAGTAGTACGTAAGTAATCTTTGATCAACATCTACATAATTATGTTTCATTATGTACGTACTTATTACTGTATTTTACATATCATATAACCACCTGGGATCTGTAATACTTAATACCCCAAATATTTAAAATATTTAATAAAAAATCATTAATCAAAGCAATCATGTAGGATCTACTAGATAATGATAATGATAGTTAGGGTGATAGGGAATAAATAAATTTGGGTGTTTATAACGATAAGATCTTTAAAAACAATTAATAAATATCAAATGTTATATGTATTTAGTGACTTTATGCACCGCTACAAACAAAAACTGCATACGTAGGTTCTTTTTTTAATTAAACTTTAGATTCGTCTTGTTCTTCTATTTTAAATTATAAACAATTTTTTGCTTCTTTTTTTTTGCAGTTTCTATTGTTTACATATATGGTTAAGAGCTAACGTCATCATTGTGAGACCAATAGAAATGTAGAAAAATGAGGGCTAAAATTAGAAATAGCACCGGATATTACCGATATGCAATATCACGTGTAGTTGTTCTACTTGATTATTGGTTGTCTTAAACTTGTAGAGTTATAAATAAGTCTTTTATTTACTGTATACTTTAATAATTCTTTCATTGTAACAAAGAAAATTTCCTACGTATAAATCTTTTAAGCATCTAAAAGTCCAGTTAATTTTGATTAAATGCAGTATATATTACGTATATACTACGTATATATGTATAAGCTAATAATTTTCTTTTTTTAGCTCTAAACTTATGTCTGATTGATGCATTACAGTACTACTTTAGCGGCTCGGTTCAATTCGGTTCGGCTCGTCAATGTCCGAGCCGATCCGCTTGCATCACTAAAAACCGATCCATGATGCATGCCGGTTTTGGAAGACCTACGTATAACTTAAAATTCTATTAAGCAATTTCGAAAATTCATGCTTTTTTGCATGCGTGTCTATATTTTTACTTTAGTATAATAATAGTCGATAATATCGGTTTAATATTTCGGTGAAAATTCAAATATTCAATCAAAATTTTCCACCGATGCTCGAAAATCGAAACTCATTGATTCAAATCTATAGTGGCAAGATCTATTGTTATTTTGTCTGTGTTAAGAATAAATTCTATTGGTAGTGTAAAAGATACTTTATAATCATCGTCACCTCCGGTGAAAATGCCAATTAAGTTTACCGAACGCAAATCTTGGGAAAAAGAAACACAGACCCTCCGCTGTCACCAAAACTTATTTCCATCTCTGCAGTGATAAAGTCTCTTGTAATACCATATGAATCCCATTGAGTCCATTTGCATGTCCACAAGAAAGATGAGTAGTAAACCAAGATTTACATATCGATATATGAATATCATGGCTAGATTAGAGTTAATACATGAATCCGGATTTAATCATTTATATCCAGATTTGATCATTATCGTTATAGTTGTTCTCATAAATTTTTGGACAACTGATAAAAATTTGATCAGCCGAATTCATTAAGTTTTTGAATTCGGTGTTGAACTTTGATTTTGGCATTACAATAATTCGATAACAAACTTATCGAATTCGGCCGATCAAATTTTATCATTTACGAAACTTATCGCAAAACTACATAATATCGATATTACACAAAAGTAGCAGTAATTTTATAACCCTAAGTGTTGGCCGATGACCAAAGTCATAACACTGCTTGCTAATGGGAGGATTCGAAATTAAAATTAGTAAATCTTATTTTATTTTTCCAATTTATAATTCAAACATAATCAAAGTGCTATTGGAAATTCTTTTTTTTTATTACTTGTACAACAAAAATTCATTTTTTATGCAACCGATATACGATACAATAAATTTTCTTTTATTAAAAAAAAAATTTTATTTGAAATTTCTACATTCTTTGCATCCCGTATCCCTCATTACCACTAGGTTATATTCAATTATAAAAAACGTATTAACATAAGGATATAACCCAGTACCGTAAATATTTACGTGCATATATTAACACTTACGAACATATGAAAACCTCGATTGTCAATTACCTGGCGCAAATCTACAAGGAAAATGTTAAACAAAAAAAAACAAACAAACAAACAAACTGAATTAATACTTATCTTTTTATACCAGTTCCAGTTTTGGATCTCTATTCTCGGTGCATTCTAGTACCCTGATAAAATACAAATTTACGAGAAAAAAAATCGAAGATCCAAATAAATCAGCGCAATATTTTCCGCTTTTCCTTCTGATCCAAGATTAAGATTATTAAATTTGAGTTAGAATGATATTCTTGCAAAGTGATCTTGACGAAACAAAAACCTACAAAAAAGAAAATATGACACGTTAATGATGGCTTATATTTTTTTAACTCGTAATGTACACAACCTTATGTGAATCAAGATCTATT